TGTATTACATGAAAATTACAACCCAAAAAAGAGCTGAATGGATATAATATTGGACAGAATAGACTGTTATAAGAGACAAAGGAGGACATTGTATATATTTTAAATAGTCAATTTATCAAGAATATAGAACAATTATAAATGTACATGCACCAAACATACATACATAAATTATATAAAGTAAACAACTACAGAATTGAAGGAAAAACAGGCAGTTCTACAATAATAGTTGTAGACACTCCTTTTTATATAATGATTAAAACATTTTGACACAAGGTCAAATAAGGATATAAAGGGCCTGATCAACAAGATAAACCAACTTGATTTAACAGATGTATATAAAATACTCCACCCCAAAAGAGCAGAATACACATTTTTCTCAAGTACACATGACACATTTCCTATATCAGACCGTAAGTTAGGCCATAAAACAATTCTCAATAAATTTAAAAACATCAAAATCATGCAAAGTATCTTCTCCAACCACAATGGAATGGAGCTAAAACTCAGTAACAAGAAAAACTGAAAAATTTAAAATACGTGGAAATCAAACAATACACTCTTTAACAGCAATAAGTCAGAGAACAAATCATGCAAGAATTAGAAAATACTCAGAGATGAATGAAAACAAAAACACAACATACCAAAACTTACAGGATGCAGCAAAGGAAATGTTCAAGGAGAAATTTATAGCTATGGATGCCTATATCAAAAAAGAAGACACACCTCAAATAAATAATCTAATTTTACATCTTGAAGAAACAGAAAAGGAATAACAAAGTAAATACAAAGCGAGAAAAAATAAGAAAATAATAAAAAGTAGTGTGGGAATATTTTTTTAAAATGGAGGCTAGCAAAACAATAGAATCACTTAAAAAAATAGTTGACTCCTTATAAAGAGCTACAAAATTAACAAACTTTTAGCTACACTGACAAAGAAAAACGATAAAGAATTAAATAACTAAAATCAGAAATGACACTACTACTAACCATACAAAAAAAGGATTAGCAGAAAATACTATAAAAAATTGTATATCAACAAATTAAATAACCTTCATAAAATAAAAAAATTCCTTGAAACATACAAATTACCTAAACTGACTCAAGGAAAAAAAATCTTTATAGACTATAATAAGTATAGAGCTTGAATCAGTTATCAAAACCTCCCAACATAGAATATCCCAGCAATATTCCAGATTGCTTCACTGGTGAATTCTACCAAACGTTTTTAAAACATTAATACCAATTTTTGTCAAATTATTCCAAAGAATGTAAGAGGCAACACTTCCTAACTCATTCTGTAAGGTCAGTGTTATCTTGATACCAAAGCCAGATAATGAGACCCCAGCAATGAAAGGTTGGTTTAAATTCAAAATCCATCAAATAATATAATACACCATACCAACAGAATAAAAGGCAAAAACCATATGATCATTTCAATAGATGCAGGAAAAGCACTTGCCAAAATTCAGCACCCCTTCATGATAAAAAATAAATGAATAAAAATAAAAAACTCTCAACAAACTAGGAATAGAAAGAAACTTTCTCAATCTGATAAAGTACCCAACAAAAAAAACTCAGAGCTCATCTACTCAAGGGTCAGTGTGAACCCTTTCCCCCTGAGATCAGGAACAAAACATAAATGTCCACTCTTTGTTTTTCTATTCAACTTTGTATTAGAGATTCTAGCAAAAACAACGAGCAACAAAATAAGATTTAAAGGCATCCAGATTAAAAAAGAAAATAAAACGATCTCTACTTGAAGATGACATGATCTTACATATAGAAAATCTTAAGAAATCAACCTGTTCAGCAGGTTGCAGCTGAACATACAAATATACAAAAATTGTGTATTTATACATTGAAAATGAACGATCTTTCAAAAATTAAGAAACGATTGCACTTAGAATAGCATAAAATAATTAAATATTTAGAAATATATATCCCAAAGAAGTCCAAAGTTATATTCTGAAAGTAACTACAAAACACTGTTGAAAGAAATAAAAGACCTAAAAAAATGAAACATCCCATGTTGATAGATCAGAGGTTATGATATTGTTAAGATGGTACTACTCCCCAAATTTATCTTATGATTCAATGCAATTCTTAACAAAATAATCTAACCTTCTTTTTTTGGCAAGAAACAGAAAAATGAATTCTAAAAATCATATGGAAATGCAAGAGACCCAGAATACACAATCTTGAAAAACAAGAATAAATTTAAAGGACAAATACATCCCAATTGCAAAACTTACTACAAATCTACCATAATCAAGAGAGTGTAGCAGAGACATCAGAATAAAAGTATAGATCAAAGGAGCAGAACTGAGGTCCAGAAATAAACCCTTATAATTACAGTCAATTGATATGCAATAAAAATACCAAAACAAATTCAGCGGTGGAACAACAGTATTTTTCAACAAATGGTGCTTGAACAACTGAATAACACATGTAAAAGAATGAAGTTGGATTCCTATCAAACATAATATTCAAAAATTATCTCATAATGGATCAAAAAACTAAATGTAATATATAAAACTATTAGAAGAAAACATAGGTAACCATCTTCATGATCCTGGATTAGTCAATGGTTTCTCTGATATGACACAAAAAGCACAGGCAACAAAAAGTAGATAAATTCAATATCATCAAAATTTAAAACTTTTGTGCTGCAAATAACACCATTACAGAAGAAAAAACAACTAAGGGGATTGAAGAAAATAGTTTTAAATTATATAGCTAAAAAGAGATGTGTATCTAGAATATATGCAAAAGAAATGGATACACATTTCTTCAAAGATATACACATTTCTTCAAAGACATACAAATGGCTACTAACATATGAAAGATGCTCAACATCTTTAGCCATCAGGAAAATACAAGTCAAAACCCAAGGAGAAACCACTTCACATCTACAAGGAAGACTATAATTAAAAAGACAGACAAGCCAGTCAGAGAAAGACAAGTATCACATGATGTCACTTATATGTGGAATCTAATGAACAAAATAAACCAACAAATTAGATCCAGAGACATGAAAGCATGGAACAGACTGACAAATCTCAGAGGGAAGGGGGAAGGGGAGCAGAAAGAGATTAACCAAAGAATTTACATGCATATGTGCATAATCCATGGACACAGGCATAGTACAGTAGACCTGGGGGTGGGGGGTAGGGGTGGGGTGGAAGGGTCAATGGGAGAAAAAAGGGGACATCTGTAATGCTTTCAACAATAAAGATAAATTTAAAATAATAAAAATAAATGAATGAATAAAAAGACAAATCGCCTCGGCTGGTGTGGCTCAGTAGGTTGGAGGGTCATCCAATATACAAAAAGGTTGTGGGTTTCGACTACTGGTCAGGACATCAACTGATGTTCTCTCTCACTTCGGTGCTCTGATGTCTCTCTCTCTCTCTCTCTTCCTCTCTCTTTCATCTCCCTTCCCCTGTCTCTAAAATCAATAAGCATATCCTCAGGTGAGGATTTTAAAAAATAAAAAAATATATAATTTAAAAAGACAGACAAGTCAACAGATGTTGATGAGGACAGAGAAATCAGAACCTTCATACACTGCTGTTCAGCATGTAAAATGGTAAGCTGCTTTTTTTAACATCTGTATTGATAAACATTTTAATTAATACCAACTGCCAACAATATGTAAGGTGTAAATAACAGGTGGATGCGCGTTGAAGTAATGAGACTAGAAAGCCACTGTTTCCTTTTTACTCCAAGAACTTCAAGAAACAGTCCATAACTATGTCTTTTTAAAAATAAGCTTATAAATTCTCCTGAACAATGAAATTGCCAACAATATACAAATATTTATCATTGTTTTGGTGCAGCTGCTTTTGAAAACAATCTGACATTTCCTCAAACACTTAGGGACAGCATTACACTAAGACCCGGTAACCTCACTTCTCATTACATACCTAGGGAAATGAAGGTATATGTATGTATATACAAAATATTGTACACAAATGTTCATAGCAGCAGTATTCATAATGCAAATGTCCATATACTAGTGATAAACAAAATGTAGGGTATCTATAAAATGGAATATTAATCAACAATAAAAAGGAATGAAGCACTAATGCATGATACAACATGAATAAATTCTGAAAACATTATTCTAAGTGGCAGAAGTCAGCCACAAAAGACCACATACTATAATTTCAGTTATATAAAATGCTTAGAACAGAAAAATCTATAGAGAAAGAAAGTAGATTAGTGGTTATCTGCTAACCCATGGTGGAATTAAGGGTAAATGAGGAGTGATTGCTTAAGGTTACAGGGTTTCTTTGGGGGATGATGAAAATGATTTCAAAGTAATTGTGGTAATAGTTGCTCAACTATGCATAAACTAAAACTATTGGACTGTACACTTTAAATTGGTTAAATAAAAGATATGTAAATTATATGCCAATTAATATTTTAGACAGGAAAGAAAGAAGCAAAGTTTTCTTACTGACTCACTATAATTATATAACTTAGAAAAATACAGAAAATGTACAAATTTTTAGAACTGTGACAGTTGGGGAAAACTATTGAAAAGAAGCTCAAGACAAAATGAATCAGTAACATTCCTGCATTCTAGAATTAATCAATTTTGTGCTTTTTTTACCATTTTATTTTTTAAAGGCCTTGAAATTAGTCTTAAAACTATATTACAATGAATTCTAGCCCCTATCTATAAATTTAAGCCCCAACTGTAAAAAGTAAAAATTCATGATTCTAATTTTTTAAAAAACATGTTTTATTTCAAAATGCAATATCCTTTATTTTTTAATGATTACATTTTAGATAAATATTTGAAGTCTGTTTCCTGCTTTGCAACATCAATTTTTAAAAAGCTGTGGGTCTTAAGTGAAGGAATATAAATTAATGCTAGTCCCCACTGGTGGATTTGAATATATAACTTGTTATTTAAGAAAATAACATATAATAAACTTCCTGTAAGAAGTTAGATCCAAAATAACAGCATGAATTCCATTCTCACTGCATACCTTTATTTTTGCATCAATGCTATATTTTTCTTTTTTCCAATGTGCTTCCTGCTTCCTCAGTTTCTCCAGGTCATTCAGCAAGTCAGCACAGCGCATATTTAATTTCTCATTTTCCTCTTCCAGATTTTTTATAACCAGTCTGTTTTGCTCTTCCTTATTCTGTACACACTCTTTAGTGTCCTGAAGAACAGTACCATAAGGCCGATAAACAAACAAACAAAAAATGGTGAGAACTAACCAGCAAATATAAACTGTGCAGTTTTACCCTCACAGCAGCTTCCTCTATATTTGATGGCCAAGGTCACCTGTATACTTTTATTGGTCTCTTTTCATGCAGGTGGATGGATCATATTTTTTCACTGGATGACAGCTTTGATGAATACACATTTGCAAAGAGCCCATTAATTGATCAAGCTGCCTTTGATGCTGTCCCCAGCTATTTTTGAGACCCACACAGACATATCCTCCCAGACCTGAGTTTTATCAATTAATAATGCCAGTCCCATCAGAATCTAATTACAAGAAGCCACATATTCACACTCCTACTTTCCTAGCTCCATTTCCATCATTAACTATTTATCTGAAAGTTATAAAGCTTGGAATCTTAGCTTTAAAGCATCTTTCTCAGAGTTTTTGCATGTGAGAAAGCTGTGGTACAGCAGGGCCTAAGGCAATTTTTCCTCCAAGCTTGTCACTTTATGTGCCACAAAAGCTGATAAAGCTTAAAGTAGGACTTCAAAGCAATAGTACTGTAAAACTATGTACAACTCAACACACCTTAACTTCTTGCCTTTTATCTTTAAATTTCTTCTGCAAGTCACTGAATTCTTTCCTTAAGAAAGCATTTTCTTCATCTACTGCAATCTTCCGCTTTACAAGGTCATTTATGTCCCGTTTTAGTCCCAATTCTCTCTGTGAAAAAAAAAATTAGTTATTAGTAAGCTAGTATTTCTAAGAAAAATTAATTTTATTTAAAAATATTTAGATCTTGATTAAAATGTAAGGATTAACTAGCTTTCATAACAATGCTCATTTCTTTCCTGTGATATGCCCATAGCTTTTTAAGTGAACTGTGCAAGTATGGTGCCTAATTATTAGTTTAAGATGAAGAACACGTAAAAACTAGATACTAAATATTAAGCCACATTCAGAAAGCAAATGTTTGGGATTTAGGTGTGTAATAAGAGAAAAACAAAAATTTACAAAGCATTCTAATTAAGGAAAATGCATATTAGCTAAAATAAGTATTATACTTTTGAGTATCATTTGAAAGACAATATTTTTCAGAGAAACAATTACAGTTTTTTGAAGGTGTAAATAATTTTAAAGAGTAAAAAATGGCAAGTCTGTTTTGGTACCAAAAATACCTTGCTCCACAAAAAGAATATTCAGAATATTTAAAATATCACAATTTTTAGCTTAATGTTCTTCTTACCTGCCAGAGATACCTAAATGATATCTAATTGAAAGATGTATCCATGACCCAATTCTTAGTTTCCCACTTCTCTCCTTATAGTTTTCCTCTCTGGAAATGTACCCACTCTCTTAGCTTATGGTCTCATCTATGTCTGAAAGACTACATAATCCATAATCCAGCCCTGACTCTCTCCCAATCACCAATCGCACATTTCCAATTTTCTATACAATACCTCCACTTGGATTATCTGCTGTCTCCTCAAACCAACATGATAAAACTGAAATCCATATTCTGATACTATCTCTTCCTTAAACTTTTGTCAATCTATCCATTTTTTCAACTAATAGTTATTAAGACCTATTATGTGGCTATGCACAGGTTTTTAAAGCCTCCAACTCATTCTTAACAACATCTTTCCCTCAAGCCCCATCTGCCTGTCAACCAAGAAGCAGACACATCAACATATCAACACACTATTTTCTTATTAAGTAATATACTCAGTAGAAACCACTGAACTTTATTCCATCTCTGATCTATCACTGATGTTCATTTGATCCCTAAATCTCAATTTATTTTGTACTTCAGTATTTACTGTTAATAAACATTCTCCAAAGGACTTGAGGATGAACTTAAAGTAAGATTCAGGGATAGGATAAAAAATGTGTTGAGTTTAAGGAATAAAATGAGAGTATCTCCTATATTCTAATTTCTTAAAACTATAGTTAATTGATTTTATTTTACTTCTACTTAAAAGTATTTTAAACACTAAATACAGTCATGGACCACTTAATAATGGGAATATGCTCTAAAAAATGCACCATTAGGTGATTTCATTTTTGTGTGAATAGCATAGAACTTATATGATATATCCTGCCACTGGAACTGTATGTGCTATACCTTCATATGATTCGCGCAGTGCAGGTTTGTTTCCACAAGCATGACCAGAAACATTTGTAATGCACTGTGCAATCACATTATGATGGCTATAACAAAATTTCTAGGCAATAGGAATTTTTCACCTCCTTTATGTTCACATGGGACCACTGTAGTATATGTGGTCGTCCACTGACCTAAAGGTCATTACACAATGCATGACTGTACATATAAAAATAATCTGTGGTAAGTGTGTAAGGTATTAAGAAACAATAAAAAGAGCAGCCCTGTACCCACAACCACCCAAATGAAAAACAACCATTATCTTTGAAGTTTCATGTATGTCCCCTGATCCTCTAACAGAGGTAAGCACTGTTGTGAAATTTTGGTTCTCATTCTTCTCTTCCTTTTCCTTATGGGTTGAAGACATATACATATATATATACATATATATATATACACACACATACACACATATCCCTATTTAATGTATTATACAGTTTAGCTTATTTTTGAACTTTTTTAAAATTAAACTATACTACACATATTCTGTGGCATGCTATTTTTGCTCAATATACATAATATTCACAAATTCATCCATATTGATAGATGTACCTGTGGTTCAATTACCTTGGAGTATAATATTATTCCATCATGTAAATACACTATTATATATTTATCCACCTCTTATCAGTGTATATTTCAGCTGCTTCCCATTTGGGAGAAGGGGGTATGCAAGCAATGCTGCTGTGAACACTCTTAAGCATGTCTCCTGATACAATGAGCAAGAATTTTATCCTAAGTGGCATTCCTCAAACTACAAACTATAATCTAGCAATGGGTCATTAAATCAATTTAGTCATCACAATCAGCATTTTAAAAGTGGAGTAGAATACAACAGAAAATATCAAAGTGATATGCAAAAATTCTTAGCAAAAAACTATGCCCAAAAGAATATACTTATGAAAGAAGCAGACGCACTATATTAAATATCTCCTAAAATTTTGCAGCATTTAATTTGGGATTTCTATTTTGTGTAAATATTATAAAATTCATATTTAATATGTACTTCATTTATATTTTTACTTTTAGACATAGTAAGGATAACTAATATTATATGAAATGTTTATTTCATGTGTGTATTCTGATTCATGAAATAAAATGTATATCTTTCTGTGTGGGTAGCATATTAATAAAAGTTTGAAAAACATTGCTCTAGATTATATATACTCAGAGGTGAAAGTGCTAAGACCTAGGCTAGATGCACTTCAAGAGTTCTCAACAGCTCCATATCTGAAGCAACACTTGACTCTCTGGCTTGTTAATTTTTTACAAATCCAGTAAATATAAATGACACCTCACCATGGTTTTCAGCTCTATTTCCTATTTTAATTATTAGGGCATATCAAAATGTGCCTGCATCAGTCAAGCAGCATAAAAATAGATGCATAAATATGGCCTATCGACAATTCATAGTCCATTTTTCTATTCTCACCTAAGTCTTATCCTCCTTCAAATTCAATCTCTACCTCTTCCACGAGCCTTTCCCAACTATCACAGCAATTCTGGACATTTCTAAATCTCTGTATTGCCTACATTATTCATGTGACACATAACATCCTACCTAGTCTTGTTAACTTTTCCTCTATGTATTCATACTGTCTCCCAAACCAAATTTGTAAATGTTTATGAATAAGATTGACACTGAATTATAAATTCAATCATGTGACACTAATTTTTAAATAAAAAGCATAATACAGTAGGAAATTAGTTAGCCAAAACTATCATATTCTGGTAATTAGTTAGATAAATGTGATATTATATTACATAATCATTAAAGTAATAAATTAGATAAAGATGTACTTCCAATAGAGGAGGATTGATAAATTAAGCCCTCAAAGATCTGTAAAATTTTGTATAATTCAAAACATTTTCTATTAAAATATACCCTCAATGATCTACTTTAAATAATGAAAGCACAGGTATATAAAATTACAGTTCATTTTCTAATTTAGCTTTATGAACCTTTTTCAATAAACTTCTCTGGATAGAGTACATGCTTAATGGTCTTGATTTAATATTAAAATAGCAAGTAGAACTCAAAGGAACCATAAAGTAAAAAGAGTGACAAGAGAAAGTATGTCTGGAACAAATAATTTATTATGAATAAGCCATGAAATAAATAATTCACATCATGGTCAAGAGAAGTCTATAGAGTAAAAGAGAGTGATAGTGAGTATGAAGCAGGAAAAAAGGCAGGGCAGCAGCATAAAACCCAAAATTCTATCAGGCAATACTTAAGCATAGTGAATATATTACTTATATGATCTAATTTCAAATGTACATGAAAGTTTTAATTTAAAAAAACAGATAAGTAATGAAACCACAACCAAAGCAATGGTAAATGGAGAAAGAGGAAGGAGTAAGAGAACAAATTGTAATTGAGAACCAAAACTTATTTTGAACTTCCAAGGTAAGGAAACGGGGAAATATAACGTTAAAGAGCAATCATCATCTAACTAAAAACAATAACTATGTTATTAGCAGAGTCATGTTATCTAATGCAATATTAGAAGGGGGGCTTATTCTATAACTTATTTTATAACAGTGAAAAAGCTAAAGCATAGTCTTACCAAAAGAAGGTATATGACAATTTTTACACTACTATCAATAAATGTTATCATATAAGACTGTACTTCAATGAAAGTATTTGTGCAACCAACTAAAAACATTGTGTGTGTGTGTGTGTGTGTGTGCAACTTTCTAGTAATTTAAGACATAAGCTAAAAGAGTTGTCATTCTTAACTGTTACTCTATTCCATGGGCTACAAGTTTTGAAAATTAAGAGCTAGTTAATACTACTCAATGAAACAACAATACACAATGAAGGGACTTCCTGGTTTCCAATCCAACATATAAGGAACTTGGAAGTCATCTCTCCTGTTAACACAACACGAAAAAAACTGAACAAAGTGAAAATCAACAACTCTTCCTAGATCCATCAGATAACTGAGGTTGTAGGGAAAACTACTGTTCTCAAAACTGGAGAGTCAAACAGACAGATATAGAGAATCACAATTTACGAGAGTAGAAATCCAGGAGTACAAAACTTCATGGGAACAAGTGCAGGGGTAGGAAAAACCTAATCTATAATTAATGCATTGTTGGATGATCAGTGTACATATCTTTGAGAGTTAAAAAGTCCACGAGGGCCCAGTCCTTAGGGAGCTCCCACTCTTTCTTGAGTTTTATATACTTGAGCCTGGTTGTCACAATGAAGATTAGAGAGAAATCCCTTCCTACTTCCTCCAGGGAGAGGGGGAAAGTAGCCATTTTAAGTTATGACCAAAGCATTCACTGCTTTGTAACAAGGCCTGGCCTCAAGAAAAACTATTTTACCAGAGCCTACTGGGGTTTTACCAGAGACTAACCAACCTGGAGGAAGAGAAATACCCAGCTTCAACACCCTCTAGCTTTCCTCTCTCTCCTAAGAGGGACCAACCTGAGGAGTACTTGTGAAGGTCACAGCCTGGGGGAACCTCTAAGACTATAGAATACTTCCCCACCCCTTCGCACTTCACTACAACATCAACAGGGCTTCTATACAATAGAAATATGCGTG